TCCTTCTCCTTTCTATTTTCACCGGGGCCTGGCTCCGCTCTCTCTCATTACTCTATTTTAGATACGAACTTCTTCTTTATACTGATGAAAATCAACTGCTTTATGATTAAGTGGTTCTCAGTTTACTTAAAATGATATTAAAGTCAAAAAGTTTTAAGCCACTTCAAATGCTGATGAAATCACTTACAATGGATGCTGCTTCTTGATGTATAAAAGTTTTAGCTTCCTGCATTATTAGCTGTACCCCTGACCCTGATATCCTGTTTTATGGTGGCTCCGTTCCTTTGCAGAGTCCTATGGAGCCACCCTTGTGTGTGCGAGTAAGCTGTGGATATCTTCACAAAGACACAGGAATGGCAAGCCAATTCACTACACTACTCCCTTCTCCCTTCAAGCTAGTAGATGGACAGCTGCTACAGACTGCTCTGCCCCTTGTGATTTTGTATTCAAAAGGAAGTTCAGAGAAACTGAGCTGAGAGGGTTGGAGTTACACGAACATGATCATAGTAAGTTTTTGGGCAAAAATGTAAAGAAACATTTTGCTGAGCAATGCATATTTGTTTGATCTGGATTCATTATAGAAAAAAAATGAATATCTCTCTCTCCCTTACCCTACCCTAGACCCCCCCATCCTGATATTCTGTTTTAGGTTGGCTCCTTTCCCTTGCAGGGTCCTATAGAGCCACCCTGGTGTGTGCGCTAGTAAGCTGTGTGCGTCTCCACAAACACGCAGGCATGGCAAGGCAAGTGCTTGAGTAAAAGTAAGGCCTGGTTCACACCTGGGCGTTTTGTAGCGCGTTCCTACGCTCTGCAAAACGCTCAAACACCGAAATCCCATTATTTCCTATGGGTATGGTTCACACCTGGGCGTATTACAGGCCATATGAACGCGCTACAAAACGGCCTATGCCCAAAGAAGTACAGGAGCTTCTTTGGGGCGTATTTGCCGCGTGTATCCATTGGGATACAGCCAGGTAGCCCTCGGAAACGCGCGTTTGTCGCACGTTTTTTTACAGCGAATAGCGGTAAAAACACGCATATTCGATACGCCTACGTGTGAACCCAGCCTTAGAAATACTTTGCTGGGCAATGTATAATTGTATAATTTGTTTGATCTGGATTCAGTTTTGAAAAAAAAAGTTTGAAGTTTAAGATTACCTTCACCTTTGTAATACAGGGGTAGGTAGCTGCAATGCAAGGATACTTTTTTAGATTCCTGGGAGTTCTTCTTTAAAGTCACAACTACAATGACATCATAACCCACCCAACTGATGTCACATTTACACCATGCTAGTAGGACACATCTCCCCAAATTCTTTTTACTACACACACATTAGACCAAGCAGGAACAGCCAATGATAATGCCATGCTAGCAAAACAAGAAAAGAGCTTTTTCATAGACTAAAATCTTACTACATTCTCCTTAAATCACTGCGATATATTAGGAACAAGTTTAATGATTATGCTCAAATCAATCCTTCAATAAATATACATACTGCCTGCCCCCTGCAGGTTTATGGCTCTTAATGCTGTAACAAATGGCAGAGGATGTCAGCCGCTCTCATATAAAATAACAGCAGCAGAATGAAGTCGAGTATTAATTGGAGATTATAAAATGTATCATGGCTCCCAAAAGAGCGACATAATATATCCCAGATTGTACATACCACACACTGTTTCTGAAGAGAATTAGGAACGGAAAATAACTAGCCTAAGTATAAACAAACCCAAATCACTAAAATCTCAGAAGTTTTACCATATTAAGAGAATTTCAAAAATCATTTGCAGTTTTTTTAAATATGCGGCTTTCAGTGAAATAATACCTTGTGATCCTGCCATAAAAGTCCTTGTGTACCACTTTCTGTCGTAGGGTAACAACACTGACTTTGGACATTCATTTGTGTCTTTTATATCTGTTTGAAGTTCACAAAATTTGTCCTTGTTATTTTTCTTCATAACTTCAAAATGCTGGAAATGTCATGTTATCATTGGGCATGCACCGATATATCGGCCGCTGAAACATATCGGCCTAAAAAGGCACTATTGGCTAAATGCCGAAAGTGCCATTTTTCCTCCCGATACAGCGGCGCATCCTTGCTTTCTTTCATCCCCGCTGGGCGCTGCTCTATGTCCCAGCGTGGATGAGAGAAACTGTCACAGGTGGCTGAGCACTGCGGGAGAAGAGCACTATGAGCCGCCGGTGTCTCTCCTCAGCCTCCTGTCACAGATCAGAGCAGTGTGGGCGGAGACAGCCAGCGCTGTCACAGGAGGCTGAGCTCTCCTTCCACACCCCTCGCTCGGCCTCCTATGACAGCGTGTCAGGAAGGAGAGCTGGTACAAGCAGTCAGTCAGTGATCGCTGAGTGTTTGTAAATAATTGAGGACAGAGTATGGTTACTATATCCTCAATTATGAATGAATGGGAAGTGATCTACATCACCTCCTGTTCATTCATGATTGTGGACATTCTATATCCACATGTTATGAATGAGCAGGAACACTCAGTATAGAGGATTTCTGTTCATTTATAACAGGGGCTGCAGAAAAAGAGATTGAGGACTCTGTGTCCTCAATCTCTTTTTCGGTTTAAAAAAGGGAAATATCAGGGTTCTGTTTAGACCCCTAATATTTCCCCGAAGCCCCTAAAAGTAAAGTAAAAAATAAAAACATTTAATAAAAATAAATAAAATCTAAAAAAAAAAAATCTAAAAGTTTATATTTCGGTTTCGGCCTGACATTTTTTTCCTTTCGGGTTTTAAAATTTTTATTTTGGTGCACCTCTGGTTATTATCCTTTCCATAAAATCTTCTATATTTTAGGAGTTATGGTTCTTTACTAAAAAGTGTTTCCAGTCCTCTTCCACTAAATGTCAGCTTTGGTTTTCTCACTTTAGTTCACAATGGAATTGAGAAGCACCAGCCGTTGCACAATGAATATAGAGGAAATAGCTCTGATAAGATCATTTTGATAACTTAGAAGACGTTGCAACAGATCTGTTTAACATGGGGTGAAAATGTTTAAATTTGACTTTCCAGTAAGGACAGCTATACTTCTGATAAGTACTACAAACGTAGACCTTAGCTCAGCCCTTAAAGAAGCTGTGCAAAAACAAAAGCCAAGACAAGAGGGTAAATGACTAGCCACCACTATTGCCTGTGGTCTCCCTGCAGCTGATCATGTCCCCATTACTGACTGACAATGCCCTGTTCTGCACTAGGTCTCTGTGTAAAGGCTGCCATCTTGGTAGAGGAGCAGGGCTTTGTTTTTCATGTTAGTGCTGTCCTTCAATAACTTCTGATCTGATGACCGTTGAGGAATAAGAAGCAGCAGGAGAGGTGCCAGAATGCCATAGAATGGATGACGTGAAGTAGGGAGATGCTGGTCTGCAAGCCCTCAGGTACAGTTTCCTCTTTAGCAAGGAGAACAGTGATCAGAGCAGTGATGCCATCACCAAATCTCATTCCAAATCTGGTGAGACCAGCAGTGCTTTAGATGATATAACACTGCAGCTATACACTGCCTGGCCCAAACAAAAGTCACACAATCTAATATTTAGTTGGACCGCCTTTACCTTTGATTACGGCACACATTTGCCAAGGAATCGTTTCGATAAGCGTATGCAATGTCACAACATTTATTTTGCTGCAGAGTTGCATTAATCTTTCACCAAGATCTTGTAGTGATGATGGGAGAGTCGGACCTCTGTGTAAAGTCTTCTCCAGCACATCCCAAAGATTCTCAATGGGGTTAAGGTCTGGACTCTGTGGTGGCCAATCCATGTGTGACAATGATGTCTCATGCTCCCTGAACCACGCTTTCACAATCTGAGCCCGATGAATCCTGACATTGTCATCTTGGAATATGTTCGATGTGCCATCAGGGAAGAAAAAAATCCATTGATGTTAGAACCTGGTCATTCAGTATATTCAGAGAGACAGCGGACTTCATTTTTTTGGGGAAATAATTTTGCTGAGCCTAGACCTGACCAACTGAAGAAACCCCAGTTCATAACACTGAAGCCAGGTGGTGAAATTTATTTTGGCCAGGCAGTGTACAGCGCCGAGGCTGCATTCACACCTAAGTGTAAGGTGTAGCCAGGCAATTTAAAGGCCTTGCAATGGGCGTTTGTATGTGCAATTTTAAAGCGTTTTATGCACTACTTGTACTACAGAAGAGTCCAGTGGTTTTCGCCCTGTAGATTTTTATGTACTCATGTACTTTTTTTGTACTATAGGTGTCAGGCTACCAGCAACAGAACACTCAAGGCCATTGAAAACAATGGAATTCCACTTACTGAGAGTTGTAGCACTTAAACAATCGAGCTGCAAAACACCTACGTCTGAACGGGGCTTAATGGTGTAAGCATTGAGGTGCACTGCTATATTTCAGGAATTCAAGACAAAAGTTTAATCTTCTAGAGTACAGATTAGGCCAGGGATGTCCAAACTCCGGCCCTGCAGCTGTGGTGAAACTACAAATCTCATGAAGCATCTCTCTCCGGGAGTCATGTCTGTGGCTTTGAGAATCTTGCAATGCCTCATGGGATTCCTAGTTCTCCCACAGCTGGAGGGCCGCAGTTTGGACATCCCTGGATTAGGCAAAATGAACATTTCTAGATATTCCCTATAATATAGAAATCCTAGGACAAAAACAATGTAAGTGTAACTGGCATACCGTCTGAAATTATAAGAACTGGAAGGCGAGTCAGCTCTGTGGCATCCAACCAAAACCCACCATGTCTCTTTGTGTGGATTAAATCTTTAAAGTTTATTTTTCTAATGCTTTGTACTTTTAAATGTAAACTCTCATTTATTCTCACAGATTGAGTTACAGGGAAGAAAAGTTTGACCTTTGTGGTCAGCTGCTAACATTCTACACCGAGTGTACACAATCCACCGAATCAATCAAAGAATGGGAAAATATATTAATGCAACAATATTCTGAGACATGCAGGAATAATGATTAATACAGGACAAGCTGCAACTTGTTTCCTATTCTCACCTTGCCAATGGTTTCTTCAACTGCCTTTATGTAATTGTTTAAATCTCTGTTGACAGCGGCATATTCCAACATGACGGACTCCATGCTCTCCACGTCCACCGTGTCACCTGCAATGACACACAGGCATTCTTGGTCAGGGAAATACCATGGAGCAAACAGAGATACAGAAGAGCTTTTGTTGACATTTTTAAACAGCTACTTAATACAGAATACAGATTGTTTAAGGCAGGTAAACAAAATGCGTCTAATGCCGTAAATGTAACACCTTTGATGGAGACATTGCTTTGCTCGCCAGCATATCAATAGTGGCAAGCAACCGCATTGTTTGTTGCCGAATCCCACATAACCTTCACTTCGTACTTTACATTTTGGGAAGCCTATTGCTTCATTTTTAGAAGACATTATTGCCCTGAAACAGATGGCTAGAATGCCTCCTATCATATTTGAATATGTTATCAAATAAATATTTTACATTTAAAAAATATATATGACAGCATAGGAGTGAATTAGGTAAATGTATTTTTAATTGGTGGTTGATAATGAGACCATTTTGAAGGACAGCCCACCACCTATGAGAAATAATAATCTAAACTACTGAACTGTTGTATTATCTCTCAAGGATTGGCATCTCCTTCTTCATTTGGCAGACGTGTTCCGTCAGTGCCAGGCTATGTTATCTGCCTCGGTTCAGTGCTGATAACAGACACTCTCAAAGGTTCTGTCTGGACTACATAAAAGAAACCTAAAGCTGGCCAAACATAAGCTAGATTTCTGTCATTCAGCCCGTGGAAGCAACTCGATTGCCCTATCCACAATCCAATGCATGTTTCTGACCATGTTTTCTGTTACTGCCATATTTAGGACGCAACATAAAACATGGTCAGATTGCAGACTCCAGATTGGACTGCCTTGCCCAAATCATAGACAGGGCAAATTGTCTTATGTCGTATTAGTTCAGTTCACAACACCGCGCTGCAGTGAAAAGAAAAAAAAAAGGAAGACACGCACTACCTATCAGTGCAGCGGGTTGCAATGCACTAACCAGCATTGCAATGCACAACAGTGAATAAACATGAATGAACATGAATGAACATTTTGTGATGTTTCAATAAAGTTAAAGAAACAGTAAACGTGTGGTGTGTCATCTACAAAGTATCGGCACTTTACAGCACACACCAGTGGCTGCATTAGAATGAGGCCACTGGTGTGAATAAGCCTTAAAGACCAACTCGACGCACAGTTATTTTTACTTTTTTTTGTGAACCTTTAAAAGGAGAACTATGAGGTGAGTGCTTTTCACTCACCTCATAGTTCTAGCTGACCTGTGACAATGAAACTGTCACAGGTCGGGTCAGTAGATCGGGAAGTGAGCGAGCACATACCGGCGTTCGCTCACTTCTTGATCCTGTCACGGCAGAGAGCCGTGACAGGGGAGGTGCTGGATTCCCCCTCCCTGCTCTGATCCTCCAGCGCTGACTGGCGGAACGGACGGGGGAGGGTACAGCTGGCTCTGCCTCTAGATAGCCAGCTGTCACTCACGCAGCTGGGCGGATCCAGACATAAGGGTGACGGGAGGACGCTAGTTTGTGTCCTTCTGTTACCCTAAGGAGAACTATGGGGAAAAGCCCTAACCCCATAGTTCTCCTTTAATATTTTTTTGTAACTCACTTTAAAACTAATTTTTCTCATATTTCAGGAGATCTTTGTAAGCGCCGATGATTGCTACTGAAATGTATTTTAGGCTCCCAGATGCATCGGAATGGTGTCTATGATAGACTCCAGTTCCAGTTATTGTGCCTCCGCCCCCTCTGCAATGCCATTCCCTAAGCACAGCCTAAACGTCCTCGCTGTGCTTTATAAATGGCGCAGCACAGAGGGGGCGGAGGTACTTTACTGGACCAGGAGTCTATCATAGACACTGTTGCAATTGTACAGGGAGCAAGAAGTGCAGCTCCTGCTTTGCATTCCATCAGCGTTCAGCAGAGCTTTCAGAAAGATTTTTTTTTTCCCCTTTAATTTTTTTAATCTGGTGATTCTGTCATTAACACACATCCTGTCCAGGTGACAACACTCACTTATCTATGGTGGGGCAGCATAAGAAGAAAAGACAATTTTTAGGCTTTACAAACACTTTAAACTGTTTGCCATGTACAATTACCCCAAATTTTCTTATGCCTCATATCATCTCAATGTTCATTTCCTGGTTTAAAATTGTTAACATTTAAAAAAAATGGTGATCTTATAATTGAACCCTCAATTTTCTACCACGCAGTGCCGTCATTTATGTCACCAGCCCCTTGCTAGATGACACTACTGTGGTATTGCTGTGTGTTGTGGTGCTCTGCAAAGAGCATGCATTGGCAGAATGTGTTGGGACACCATTAAAGGTTATAACACATGTGTTTTCCTAGTACAACAGTGTGAACAGGGCACAAGAAATGGCATAAAGCAATGCGTCTCACACTTTGGCCAATCATGCTTCAGTAGAATAACCTTTCCAGTGTCCAAATACCTCCTATACGAAGACAGTACGTTTCTTAATCTATTGCAGGTATTGATCATCCCCAGCAAACAACTACAAAGTCCATTGAAAAGGTATCCTAACTGTATCCATGATACAATGACATTGCAGGGTACATGTTAGCTTGTGATGTCGCTTTTACCATGGATGCAATAATTATGCAAAAGGGACAGTCCACCAAAAGCTACGGCTCCAATCACACATTAGCTGTTTTCCACGCGTGCTCAGCCGTACAAATACCCGAGGGAACAGCGTTTAACATATTAAAAAAAACAATCCATTGCAATGTGCATTGTCTGCATGTTCCAGGTATAGTAATAGCCGCAAACGAACGGAATCCGCGTGTATGTTAACGTTTGCACGGTACCGCTCTGTGTGAATGGACCCTTATATTTCAATTTCTGGCAGATGCTGGAAACCTGGCAATGTCTGTACCTCTCAGGGCCAATTCACACCTGCGCAAAGCACACAACGGCTGGTGTGCACTACCCAACATAGTGCTGATGCTGTGATCCCGGCACTTCACACTGCATACTTTTTTTTTTTAGAACTTTATTGAAATGTCACAAGTGCCATTTCATTCAGTTTAACAGGCACATCGGGGTGAGAGGCGTTTGTTTTGCGTCCCATCCCGCTGTCCTGAAAAAAAAGTAAAGTACAGCGCGCCGTACTTTTTTCAGTGTACACCACTGCGTTCCCACCGTAACGCAGTGATATGAATGGTGCCCACCTGTGACAAGGCAAATTGTCTTGTGGCTGTGCGGGAAACAATGGCCAACACAGCTCCATCGCATATGGCGTGAATAAGGCTTAAGACACTATTGGGAGATATCTAAATTTGAGTTTTGGGGTCTGCGCAGCTACTATAGCCGTTATGAGGGGCTCCCCACTACCCCTGTTGAAGAAGAATGTAATAGGAGGAGCTGGAATACACAAAGTTCGGGGAGCATCCAAAACTCCCATCTCGGCAAAAATTAGTTGGAAATTTTGCAAAGCAGATCTCTATGTTGGAGTATCTAAGACAAAGAAGAAGCCAGGGGCTGTCTCAACCCAATGCAATGACTTTTGGGTGGACACAGAGGTGCTAATACTTAGCAGTTTATGGCTTGTTCTACGGTGGGACAGAATCCTGCAATCGTCCATCTTGGACTGGAAAATTCACATAGTGGATGAACTGGTTTTGCTATGCCATTCCAACTCCAGCAAAGCTCTTGAAGTCCACTGCATGGAGAGTTTAATTTTAGCGAGTTCCTTGCAACTCAGCAATAGATATTGAGGATGTAAAATGTCTTATTACAACATTGGATGTGATCACATGATTATGTTAAAGACAGAACCTACCCATAGCAATGATTATGAAACAGTGAGTTTTGAAATTCTCAATAAGTTTTGCAGATGCTGAGCAAACATTAGTCAGATCAGTTGGCTTGATCATAAACTTCATACATGCCAATGTCAAAATGGGACACGCGGCATGTGCTCCAAACCCCTAACTGATAGATTCCAAAAATTGTGTATTGAACAGAATAGACAGACAGATACAAATGGAATTGTCAGAATTTTGTATTGGCTTGGTTGCACCCTTTCTCAAACTGAATGCTAAAGGCGGCCACATACGAATGGATGTGATCATTAGATCAATCGTTTTATGGGACTGATCAGCCATAACATTATGGCCACTGAGAGGTGAAGTGAATAACATTATCTCATTACAATGGCACCTGGAAGTGGGGGGGATATATTACAATGGTACCTGGAAGTGGGAGGGATATATTACAATGGCACCTGGAATTGGGGGAACATATTACAATGGCACCTGGAAGTGGGTGGGATATTACAATGGCACCCGGAAGTGGGGGGGATATGTTACAGTGGCACCCAGAAGTGGGGGGATATGTTAAAGTGGCACCCAGAAGTGGGGGGATATATTACAATGGCACCTGAAAGTCGGGGGGGATATATTAAAGTGGCACCCAGAAGTGGAGGGATATATTACAGAGGCACCCAGAAGTGTGTGGGGGGGGGGGTATATTACAGTGGCACCTGGAAGAGGGGGGGTATATTAGGAAGCAAGTGAACATTTTTTCCCTGAAGTGGTTGTGTTGGAAGCAGAGAAAATGGGCAAGTGTAAGGATTTTAGTGACTTTGACAAGGGCCAAATTGTGTTGGCGAGGAGACTGGGTCAGAGCAACCCCAAAACTGCATCTCTTGTGGGATATCCCCGGTCTGCAGTGGTCAAGAACAACCAAGAGTGGTCCCAGGAAGGAAAACGGGTGAACTGGCGACAGGGTCATGGGTGGCCAAGGCTCAATGATGCACATGGGGAATGGATGTTGGCCTGTGTAGTCCGATCCAATAGAAGAGCTACTGGAGCTCAAACTGCTGAAAAAGTCAATGCCGTCACTGCTTTTCATGGTTATTTAGCATGTTTTATTGTTGGCACATGAAATGATTGGCTCCGTGTGCTCCTTCTCCCACTCTGCACTCTGTTGTACAGGGCCTGCAAGAGGCCGATACCGACTCCAATGCAGGTGCTTACTGTGAATGCATTGAAAAAATACTTTTAATAATGAATTACAGAGCTTA